TTTTGTGAACTCCGCTGAGACTTTGAAGACCTCTAAATCTCTCCCCATGGAGTAAAAGTGCACCTGAAAGACCACCTCTAGAGTGCAGAATAGGAGAAAGAAGGGGGAGGGGAGAGAGGACAGGAGAGAGAGAAGAAAGAGACAGAAAGAAAAGAGATTTTCATATCATTTCCAGAGTATTCAAATACATGCCTAAAGGTAGGATGTTGTATTCTATTCCACTGCCTTTTGAGATTGTCAATATGAACATCTACATCTGTCTCCAAAACCCTGGGTCTATGGAGGGGGTTTGTGGTGTGCATATGAGGCAAGCCCCCTTAGGGTCATAGTGCTACACATGGACAGGAGCTTAAGGCAGAAGGCAGCCCCCTGCTCTTTTCTCCAAATGAATGAGTCCTTGCTCAGTCTTAGCAGTTGATTGTAAAGGACCTGGGCCTTCTCAAACCACAGAGAGCCTTTGTCTGGCAGGGATGATAAACTGACCAGTGAATTGCTGAACCTATCACTATAGCTTGATTGGAAAATGTCACATACTGCCAATCTTTGGTTTGTTTAGAATAAATGGATTCAGAGACAAGATCAAAGTGCCTGATTATAAAGTCCCTGTCCTCACAGTTAATGTGGCATTGGTTCAATACAATCAATAAACGATTTAGGATCATCTTGTCTGATTTCATATATGACATACATCTATGGATGCAGTATGATGCTGTACCTCAAGCAAGCAATAAACGGCAGCTGAAGTGTCACTAAACCATGTAAAGCCCAAGTGGGTGACACTGAGGCTGCCACAGGCCTTTACTTAGTCTATTTATACAAAGGTTTGAACAAGTTTCATTCTCTGGTTTCCTAGCCCACCATCCATTAGAACAGGATAGCAGGGAAGAGAGAGGCCCCAGGGAGCAGGACATTCATTCAGGTCACAGCCAAATGATGGCTGATTGTCAGCAGCAAAGAGGGAAGCAAAGAAAAAAAGGCAGAAGAGAAAGGACAAGAGAAAGCTTAGCATTATGGGTTTGATGTTGGTGTTTGCTCTTCTTGACTCCATTTCAGGTACCCTGTAACTGCTGAAGACCTCGTAACCCACCACGGACCCAGCTCAGACAGCTCTCCTGACTTCTTGAATTATGTATTACCTTGTATATTCTCTATTATGCCAAAGGATTGTCTTCTGACTGACCACTGTGGAGCCCACCATGTGCAGCTCAGTTTAGATATAGGTATCTAGTTGCTCAAGCCAAAGATCTGGAAATTTTCTTTGATTCTTTCAAATCTCTTAACTTTCCACTGTCGTGCATTAAGAAGGCATTTATTGAATGCTGTATTAATTACTTTCATGTTACTGTGATAAAACACCATGGCCAAGGGAACTTATAAAAAGAAGAGTTTATTTAGCTTATGGTTACAAAGGGGCAAGAGTCCATCATGGTGGGGAGGCATGGCAGCAGAGGTGGATGGAGTAGGAACAGAAGCTAAGTACTCACATCTTCAAGCAGGCACAGGAAGCAGAGAATGACTGGAAGTTCAGCAAGGCTAAAGAACTCTCTAAGCCTGCCCCCAATGAGGTATTTCCTCCAGCATAACCACAGCTTCTAAGACCCCCCAGCACAACACCACCAACTGGAGACAAAGTGCTCAGATACTTGGAGCCTATGGGGGACATTCTCATCCAAACCACCACAAATGCCTCATATAATTCAAGTTCTAGGGCATAGAGAAATAACGGTAATATAAATCTTGTGTTCCATGATGACTGTATTCCAATGGGAGAGAAGTGCAATGCACAAATTAATGTATTTGTAATATTTGCTTTGGAGAAAACAAAATCTCCAAAGAAGTAGCATGGTAACTGTGACTTAAGAGAAGCAAAACCAGCTTGATTCTGAGCACAGGGCTCTCTCAGGAAGCTAAGAAGCCATGCAGAAACTTCAGGGGCAGGAATGAGCTTGTGTTTGTGAACAGAAAAAAAGGCCAGTATGGCTGTAGATCACGAGGTCAGGGAGATGGGGGAGAAATACGGTTAAAGTGGGAGAGTCTTAGAGTCTTGGAGTCTTGTGAAATTACACAGCACAGCAACATAAAACTGCTGAAGGACTTTTAGAAAACTTTTTATCATGAAAGTAATATATGTTTTAAAGAGTATGGATTGCACAGGTGTGTGCATTTGTCAAAGCAAATGGCATGGCATATTTAATATTTGTTCATTTCATTATGTATCAAACTGTGAAAACAGACTGCAAATATATAATGAACTCCAAGATAGGCATACTGGAATATGTCTGCAGTTTACTTCAACTTGGATTAAAAAAATTGAGCTGGATTAATGGATAGAGATATGAAGTGTGTATAGCCTTATTTATTGCTAGGACCTCAGCAGGAGACACGAGTGTTTGTTGAATACACCCTTTACAGTTAAAAATATTTATACAAAAATGATGACAGTCGGAAGCTTGTCTGATTTTATCTGATCTACGTTTTTAAAATATTTTTCTTGCAATTGTCTAAATGGAATGTACACGGCAATTAGGGAAGTAGTGAGACAAATTGGAAGACTGTGGCAGTAATGTGACCTGGGGCAGTAGTGCAGGATTCGTGACAGGATGTATGTTGGAGGCAGAATGCATGGAATTTGTGGATGTATTTAAAAAGTGTCTGTGACGAAAGTAACTCTAGCACTTTAATCTGAGTAGGCTCGTGGTACCCGTAACAGAAATGGGAAGAAATGGAGCAAGTCAGGCTGATAGTACAAGTTCAACAATGGACATGTTACTTTAAAAAGAATTAAAATTTATAATCCCAGCCCTCGAGAGACAGAGGCAGGCAGATCTCTGTGAGTTCAAGGCCAGCCTGGTCTACATAGTGAGTTCCAGGCCAGCTGGGGCTACTGGGAGACCCTGTGTCAAAAAAGACCAAAAAAAAAAAAAAAAGTTAAAATTTATTCTTTGAGAATTTCAAGCATCTATATACAATGTATTATGATCATATCCACCATTCATTTCCCCCTCCAGTTTCCCCCTGGCCTCTTTTAATACAGTCCCCTCCCAACTTTGTGTCCTCTGGGGCCATCCACTGGAGCACGGGCAACCTACCAGGGGCTACAACTGAAAGAAAATGACTCCTCTTCCTCCAGCAGCCATCAGCTGCCATTAGTTCCTCAGCTAGGGTTGGAACGTGTTACTTTTTAGAAGCCTGTCACACATCCAAGTGAGAATGAAGCATAGACGGATAATGATCATCTTCTTAACTCTGGGCAGAGTGGGTGATGGCTTTGTAAATCTCAGAGTGAATAATCAGAAACTGAAAATTGGAATGAAGGTCAGGAGAGAAGACTAGTCTCAGAGTTGCAGAGGGTAAAAAAGAGCTCTAGACCCTTGGGGACACTGCAACAGTAAAGCATCTGAGAAAGCAGGGAGAGCCAGAAAAGGAGACAGAGGAGCCGGCAGTGGCGCAGGAGAAACAGGCCACAGAGATGTTCTGGTTGCCTAGAGACATACCAAGGAAAAAGTGGTCAACAGAGCCATTTCGCTGCTGTAGAGAAGGTAGGTGAAGGAGCTGTTTGTCATGGGAAAGTGATGACGCCTACTCCCGAATTTCATTTCATAGTAAAACAGAGTATCTCCATTGCAAATGTCAGAGAACGGAACATAGAGGGATTCTGTGGAAGCAGTGAGGCATACAGCTAGGTGCGTGATGCCAGAATAAAGGCGTACAGAGGGAGGAGGATAGATGTGTTCATGCAACCCTCAATATAAAGTCATAGGTGACTTCTAATACAAGGGAACCTAGGGTATAACCTATGCCATCAGTCCAGAGTGTGCTTTTGCCGTGACAGCGGTCTTAGCTGCCGAAGCCTCGTTCCACTGCTGCTGCCTGACAGCTTCAGCAGTAATAGTCTTCCCACATAGTTCTGGCAGAAAGAGCCCAGGATTCTGATTGGCCAGTATGTGCTAGCAGCATGTGCTTAAGCAGTTTAACATACCTGGAGACATGTGGTTCACTCAAATGGGACATGCATTGGTTACAGACTAGCTCCTGTGTTGGGGGCAGAGGGACAACCTCACTAAAGCTACATGAAATCCCCATATGATAATGAAGTTTTTCCAAGGAAAAATCTAAGCAAGCTGGGCATATCCATAAGCATTGCCTACTACTCATCCAAATGATTATTTTTCTATAAAAATAACAAGGAGATGAAATTACATATTAGAATGTCTGACAACATTGGTGTCATTTATGAAAATTTTACTTGTTGCTCAGTCATGTAGCTGTGGTGTCCCCACTTAAGATGCTGTAAGAACTGGGGCCTGGAGAGATGGCTCAGTGGTTAAGAGCACTGGCTGCTCTTGCAGATGATGCAGGTTCAATTCCCAGCACCCACATGACAATTAACAACCATCCATCCGTAACTCCAGTTTCAGGGGATCTGACATCCTCTTCTGGCCTCCCCACAAGGAGGCTAACAACCATCTGTAACTCTAGTTCCAGGGGGTTCCAACACCCCCCTCTGGTTTCCACGGGCATTGCATGACATGGGTGCACTTACGTGCGTACAGACAATACACTCATACACTTGAAATAAAAATAAATAAAATACTTTTTTTAAAGATGCTGTAAGACACCATTGGTGTCTCACAGAGCCAAATAGACTCATATTTATAGTGAACACCTGAAAATGCAACAAATCCTTTTCAATATTCTCAGACTACTAAACTGGATGGTTATTTCAATGTGGGAGATATAACTGATGTGGGCCACAGATGGGAGCACAGACCCGCAAGACGGTAACTCCATTAACCTCACTGGTTTCATGGGCAAAATGTACATGCTGTGGCAAGGCGGGGGTTAAATGTGACAGCAAGCAAACTGCCACATAAACTAGTACTAATTACTATGGGACTTCATAAAACCAACAATGATAACAATTAACCTGTGCTTACTGTCTTCCTCTTTTCTCTGTAGCTTCTTAGTCCAGACAGCATTTTGAGAAGTGAGTATCAAGCATGGCTTTAGTAGACAAGAGGCTTCAGAACTTGCAGATCTACCGAGTTCTCCAGTGTGTTCGCAACAAAGACAAGAAGCAGATAGAGAAGCTTACCAAACTTGGGTACCCTGAGCTAATCAATTTCACAGACCCTGTTGATGGACTTAGCGCCCTTCACTTAGCCTCGGTTTCCAACGATATTGACATGGTCAGCTTTCTCCTTGGACTCGGTGCTCACCCTGATGTGCAAGACCGAATGGGCTGTACTCCAACCATGAGGGCTGCAGAGCTGGGCCATGAATTGTCAATGGAAATACTAGCCAAAGCCAAAGCCAATATGACTATAGTTGATAATGAAGGAAAAGGTAAAATTTTCAGCCTTCTACCCAGCAGAATGAAATTCACTTTGTAGCTAGAAAACAAGACAACAGACTTCTTTTGCTTTCCTACTTTAGAATTGAATTAAGATCTTAAGTAAAAAGCTAGATTCCCATCGCTGTAACTAAGCATGCAGCCTCCTCATAATTTAAAACAGTTTATGAATACCTTAGGGAAACCGGTTCTGAAAGTTCACTCATTTAAAAACAATTGGATTCATCTGTATTTAATGTTTTCTTTCTTTCTTCATTTTTTTTTTATTATTTTTTGAGACTCAATCTCACTATGAAACCCAGGCTGGCCTTGAACTCTCCATCCTCTTAGTAGTTTTCGTTCTGTAGTTTTTGTCTTAATCCAGAAAGCATTTTTGAGAAGTGACTGACTGTCAAGCACTGTTTCTCCTGAACCCCCCAGGTTCAGTGCCTGAACTTCCCAGGCACTGAGATTATGAGTATCTACCTCCACATCAGGCTTAGTAGATTCTTTTAAATGAGGACAATTTTCAGTCTTAAACACTAATAGTACCATAATCATCCATTATGAAGTGTAAAGTCTTCTTTAGAACAGAATGTTTTTATATTTTAGAACTTTGGCTAGCACCAGACTTAGGGCTCCAAATGGATTTTGTCCTCTCTCTCCTTCCTGGGTTAATTTAGAAAGAACCATGTTTGGGAGCTTGAGAGAACCAAGGTAGACTTGGCTTAGACTCCAATGTTTTAAGGTCAATTTTTAACATATTTTTAAAATATAATTTGAAATATTACACATGACACTTTGAGAATTATTATACTACATCCTCTGATAAAACTTCCTACAAATCACATCTTAAAATCATGGTCTGGGGTTTTTTGCCTAAATAATTTGGACTAGAGTTGACCTAGCCTCATGAAAATCACCAAAATAATTACAAACAGACTCAACATAAATTAGTAGACTTAATCAGTTGTCCCCGAGAATTGCCACAAGTACAAAGCTATTGATATTGACCTATAGTGGAGAAATGAATCTCACTTTACATTCTTAAATATTTTCTGACAGGAGGAAAACCTACTTTTGTGACTCACTGCAGACTTGATATTTGATATATGACTTGTTTACAACAAAAGGAAAATGCAAAGGAAAAACTATCCACTAGAACCACATAGTGAAATAAATCTCAATTGTATTTAGAGGTCAGACATTTTAAAATATTAAATACTGAAAACACAGCTTTAAGAGCATCATAGACTACCCTGGCATAGGGGCACTTATCTATAATCCCAGCCAGCACTTGGAAAACAGGTGAAAAGATCACAGCCAAGTTTGAGTCCAGCTTGGTTTACATAGTGACTTTGAGTCCAGCCTGGTCTACATTATGAGTTTCAGGTCAGCTGGACTATATAGTGAGAGCCTGTCCTAAAAATGCTTCACAGAATGCCATTTTCTGAGGTGTGTTCCACGAACTCTAGAATCACTGGGATGTTAGAAGTAGTTCATGCAAAATTGATCCTTCTGCCGAATTCGTTAGGCAACCAGCAAATAAAACAAATTTAGATGTATTCCTTTCACATTGGAGTAAAGATAACAAAAGCTTACATGTTTTTGGTCATGAAGTAGTTTTACCACATAACATCAAATATGCTTGAAGTTTTATAGAATAAAATTTGTGAGAAACACTGCAATGAAGAAAGGTTTATTTTATTAAATGTGGAGCCAAGATGTAAATCACACACAGAATACCAGTTTGAAAATTTTTATAGCATAAAATTTTAATTGTGAAGTTTTAAAATATCAATGTAGAATTAGAAACAAGGTCAAATAAATATTTGTAGCAACTACAACAGCCATATGAGTAATATTTATGTTCATTCAAATTACTATTAAGCGAATTAAAGGCCTTAGAAATGCGAATGTGTGGGAAATCCACCAGACACATCACATGAGAAAAGAACGAAAGTGTCAAAATACATTTTCTTCACACGTAACCTGCTAATTGGCTCATGGTTCGCACAGGCCCCGTCTTTTTCCTCCTTAGGGAGCTGCACTTAGCATGCACATCCTCCTCTGCGGGGAGGGGGCTTGGAGCCTGCTTTGCTTATTCCATGGAAGTCTCTGTCATCAAATTTCTGCTTCCTGGTGCCTGATGCTTGACTCACTGCATATTGTTTATAAAGGATAGCAAACTCTGGAATATTTAAGTGGATCTTTTTTAAAACTTAAAAAATTTTATTTTTTTGTGTGTATGCGTGTATTGCCTGCATGTAGGTAAGTGTACCCTTGTCGTGCAATGCCCGCATTGGTCAGAAGAAGCCGTCAGGTCCCCTGGGACTGGAGTTACAGACAGTTGTTAGCTGCCATGTTGGTGCTGGGATTCAAATCCAGGTCTTCTGCAAGAACAACCAGTGTTCTTAACCATTGAGCCATCTCTCCAGACCCTTAAATGGGCCTTTAAAAGGACGTGGCATATGTTCTAGGCCTTAGACTGTGAGTTACACAAGCCATTATTATAAAACATGCATTTCATAAGCACCTTAAAGCTTTTAAAAGTAAATTTAGCCTCATCTGCATTACCTTTAGGGTTTTATTTTGTTTTGTTTTCTGTTGAAGCTCTTACCTTTGATTTTCTTTTCTCTTTTTTTTCTTTTTACTTTTATCTGCATTTACTTTATGCTCAATTTATTCCTGTGCCATGAGCGTTTGCTTTTTCAGTTTCTTCTGGGATATCTTTCGCATCTTTTGCTTCTGTTCAACCTCCTCTTCAGGATTAGGAACAATTTGTTCCTTTTCAGTGAGGATCATTTCCATATGGCAGGGGGAGCTCATGTATGGGTTAATCCGATCATGAGCTCAGTAAATTCTGAGGTGCATTTTGGGTGATTTGTTCACCTGGATATGCTCAGTGACCAGAAAGTCTACATCTAAGCCCTTAAGTTCAGCATTACTCTCTGCATTTTGAAGCACGTGCAGCAAAAAATTCAGCACTCTTCTGGGGCCACCGACCTTGCGTCCAGACCCACAGTTTGGCCTGAGCACACCTAACAACTCCACTGTTATACCTCTACAGCGGCACACACTGCTTCTTTAAAGTGACATCTTTCAGATTCTTGGTGGCTTTTCGGATATGCACACCCTTGATGGCCTGGGAAGTTCGACCTGTGTTCTTAAAGTGAACACGAAGATTGGAACCTCTTCATTTGCATGATTTTGTAGGGTTTTTGGGTTAAGAGAGTAGCAAACCATTTTCACAGGTCACCTCGGGCACTTACAGGAAGAGCAGATTTTCCGTTTTTAACTATGTCTAACTGTCCCTCCTTCCTTTGTCCCGCCCTTCTGTGCTTCCAGTTCTTCTTCTTTCCTCTTTTTGTAGTTTTGAGGATATATATATATATATATATATATACAGTCGTGTATATTTTAGGTAGATCTTGTTATAAGAAACATCTTAACATTTATTTATAAAATCTGAACTTTTAATAGTACAATTTATTTGCTTTGTGTGCATATAAATGTTCATAGGCTAGTCTTCAGAACTGGCATGTATTTTATGAAGTACAATACAAAAGTATTTTCCTATATGTTCTATGTATTCTTTAGTTTAAATTCTAGTTGTATTTTCTAAAACTGGTACTTTTAGTTTTCTTAATGACCAACTTGATAGTTTTCCACACTCTTCAACCTGTTTACTGTCAGCACCTTCGGTTGTTTGCATTGATTCTTCACTGTGAATAATGAACCCTTTCTCCACTCAGTTCTGTGGTCAATCAAAATTACTTAGGTCTTTCGGTGACCCCCTTGTAGTCTTAAATGATGTGTTTGCTCTTTCCTTTATCTCTTTGTATTCTTAAATACATGATTTCTACCAGAAAATATAGACATATCACATGTCTATGGTATTTTCTCTTCACCCTTCCCTCTAAGATTTTTTTTTTCATTATTTCTAGATTATACTGAAATCTCCTTTTCTGTATTTAGAATTCTTTTGGTGATTTAGCTTTCATTCTATGGTTGAAGTGACAGAAGAGATGCTTCTGTTCACACTCTATCTCTTGGTAGACTTATTTTTGACATCAACTACTTTAGATCACTGCTTTGGATTTCTATCACTGATTTCTTATATCCTTAGCTGTGTGTGTGTGTGTATGTGTGTGTGTGTGTGTGTGTGTGTGTGTGTGTGTGTGTGTGTGTGTGTTCTTAAGTCCTGCTGGTTCAGTTCCATCTTTTCCTCGTAGTCTATTTTCTTCATGTCTTTTTGTTGTTGGTTTATCTTTGCACTTCTATTTTATGTGTTTGTTTTCCATAAGATCAACAGCTTGACTAGGTATAGAAATTCTCTATTTCTTTTCACTGAGACATTATTTGAGGCCTTTTTTAATCTTTTGGAATGCAATGTTGTTGTGGAAAGTTCTTGAGAATAGCCTGACATTTCCTTATTAAACATGAGTTGAAATTTTTGCCCAAGTGCACATAAGATACTTTCTTTGCCTGGCTTTACCTCTTCTTGACTGTTCTTCATCAAGTTCTCTTAAAATACACTGTTCCCTTTTGATCTTCAAATTCAAGTTTTATTCATTCATAAAATGTTGTTATATATCTATAATTTTCTATAGTATTTTGTCTTTTATTATTGAAAACCAATTGCATATGTGTCTAGTCTTCTTTGCCTTTCTAGGCAATTTAAACTTTACTATCATATCAATTACTCAACATCTCAACTTCTTGTAACTTTTTTCTTTCTGCCCCTGATCACAGTGTTGACCATGACTATTCTTTTAGCTACCTCTAATTTGACTTCAACCTTTAATGGCTTTATTTTTCTTTGCCATTCCTTAAGTCCTGATGGCTCAGTTCCATCTTTTCCTTCTATTCTTCTGCTTTCTTCATGCCTTTTTGGCGTTGCTTTATCTTTGCACTTCTATTTTAGAATGAGTTACATGTAATTTATTTGCTAACATACAAAAAGACCAGTCAGTAATTCACTGGCATCGTGTTCAGAATATGTTTGTTTCCTGACTTTTATTATCAGCTTCTGTCTTTCATCCAGTATCTTTTTCATAAATCACATGCTAGTTTCTTTGAGTATGTAGTTTCTTTTTGAATGAAGCTTCTTTTTGGATTGAGGTCATTGCAAAGTCGGTGTGAACTTTATTTTCCTATGACTTTCTTAGCAACATTCTGTCCTGGGACTGTAACAATAGTCCTGGTATACAGTACATTTTTTGACACAGATTTTATTGGAGGACTTTATGGTGTAGGTCCTGAGTGTGAAGATTTAGCATATTTCTCTTTAGTGGAACAAAGTGACTTACCAGAATGGCAGAGCTACTTAGCATCTTGTTTTTCATCTCACTGCTACAAAATCCAAAGAATGTTCCTTATGATCATGGCTTCAAATGGACCTCGGAGACACTCCTGGAGCCTTCTGGTGCACACAGCTCTGAACATTCCAAAGGACTCACATGGGGTATGGACCATAAGTTGCCAAATCCTAGGGCTGACAAGTTCTCACAAGTCAGCACTCTAATTCTTCCCTAAACCAAGTTCTATAACATTTAGTTGTAACTGTTTTCTAATTCTGTCAAAGATATGTCTTATTACAGGCCTTTAAATTTCCCCCTGTCTGCCATATTCAAATTATATATATACATATATATGTGTATATATATATATAATAACCTAAATTCTCCCTGGGGATCTATTTTTCTGCAGGTGTTTTGTTTTACTGCATTTTACCCACTAAGCGGCATTATCGCTGTTCTCTGATTGCCTTGGATCATGGTGCAGATGTCAACAACATTTCTTATGAAGGAAAGCCAGTATTCCTTAGCGTTTGTGAAGAAGCACATGACGTGAAGGATATATGTATGGCGTTTTTGGAGAAAGGAGCCAATCCAAATGCTATCAACTCAGTATGACTATCCCTGTGATTAAATATTTCTTTATTCCACTATATCATACTGTCACTTAGCATAATTTTCTGCATTTAAACATGCTAAAATTATCCTGTTAGCCCATAGATTGTTCATTTCCATTCAAAATCTTAAGATGACATGCTTTTATGTCTTTTTACGGCTGTGATTTTATAGTTTATTTCCTAATTGTGTTTTGGAAATTGGCACTTATTATTCATATTGTCAAAATATTGTAGCAAACATAAAAGGTACCACTGATGCCTGATAAAATGCATCTTTTTGGAAAGAAAATACTTCGTTCTGCTGTCTCTCACACAGATTTTGCTTCCTCTCCTCAACTGGCTAATTCTGGGTTTTCATTGTTTATAATTATCACTTCCACTCATACAGAAAATGGATTTTCTTCTCATCAGAAAACAAACAACAAACGCTACCTAATTTCAGCATATCATGCTCCTTCCTCCATTTCTCACTTTGTCCTCTGTTTTATAAGGAAGGCACTTTGCTAGCATGATGTTCTCACAGGGGTGGCAGAGAGATTTGGACTCTGGCCCACAGCACTTGCTGAATGCTTCCCCTTTGCTAAGCAAAACTAATGAAAATGTAGAGACATGTGCGGCTCAGTGTTAAAGCTAACATGGAACAAATTCAGCCTCCGTTAGTATTGACTGTGCTACTTGTTCAGCGGTATAAGCAGCATCTAATCTGTTTCATGTCCAGTCCACAGGGCGCACCGCTTTGATGGAGGCATCAAGAGAAGGGGTGCTGGAAGTAGTTCGAGGAATATTGGAAAGAGGGGGTGAAGTGAACACGTTCGACAACGATAGACATCATGCTGCTCATTTTGCTGCCAAAGGGGGCTTTTTTGATGTAATGATTATTCTTTGCTTTAAATTTTGTTGTGAAACTTTTTTTTTTCTTTTTCATATAGGTTACACTAAGTCAGATTTTTTTTTCTGATTTACCTATGCTTTATCTTGATTTTCTGAAGCCTAAAATTCTAACTTTAACCACATATTCCTGCTCTCTATTTAGTTTTATATATTTGCCAACTTACTGAGTATTACTTAATAGTATTTTTCTATGTAGTTGATTACGGCAATTAAAATTTCTGCTACCTAAGACTACTTCTTCTCTTCTTGATGTTCTTCTGCATCTAATGACACACCTGAATTTTGAGCTGTAAATATTCTGACACTTTAATAAAGAATACCTTACAGATGCAGTGACAATGCAGAAACTACCTACGAATCAACTAGACTGTTTTGTAAAAGCCTAAATTTCTTTACTTAATTTGCTTTTGAGTTTTGATACCCCTTTTTTTGTTGTTTCTGTCATAGAATCTTTTCTTTGTAATGAAAATACACCAAGAATGGAAGCTGCATTGGGTAAAGAATTTCCTGCACTGATTTTCTTTAACAGGCTCTGATGCTTTCTTAGTTGCCCATACTTACCAAAGTGACAGTGCCCAGCTGTTTCTATAATCTGTACCAATGCTGTTCAATAGAACTTTGGGCAGTGATGGAAATATTCTACATCTCAACTACACAATACATTAGCCACATCACTTTTGAGCACTTTACATGTAACTAGTAAAACTAAGGACTTGAATTTTAAAAATTCATTTCAGTTTGAATTTCCCATAGCCACATGTGGCTAGCCGGTAATACATCGGATGGCACGGGTATAGCTGCCAATCTTCTTGCAGTAAATGAGCCTTGCTGTTCTTCTACATGTCACCGCTTATTTTGCAGATATTGAAGCTTCTCTTTGCCTACGGTGCAGACATGGGGTTGATTGGGATGAATGGGAACACGCCGCTTCATTATGCTGCCATGGGTGGCTTTGCAGATTGCTGTAAATACATAGCTCAGCGAGGTAAAATTGTCTGGAAATTTTGCATTTAAAATGCTTTTGGTTTTCGCATGTCATAGATGAGCAGAGAATTTGTGCTTGTCACTTGTCAGCTGCTTATTTTTTTCTACCATTAGTCTTCACCCCATGCAGAAGGAAAATGAATACTTTTCCTTTGCCATCTTCTTTGGAATCATTAACCTAGTCGTAAAAGTGATTAAAATCTAAATTCAAAGAGGATTGATTTTTCATGAGTTAACTAAATATTGAAGGGTTTACAGTGATTGAATTCCCTATTTTTTAAAAGTGCCAACATCAATCTGAAAAAGACATTGAAAAAATTTTTTTATCTGAAATGTTAATTATTTTATTTAAAGATATTATATCAAATTAAACAATATTTCTGGGAAATCTGTAATTATAGAGAAAATACTTTGGAGGAAACAATAAAACCAAAAAATTATGGAAAATTTGGAATGTAAGCAATGTTTACCATTTAGACTTTCCTGAAACTTGTAAGTAACTACTAATTAAGGAATATAAGCTGTATAATACATAGTATTGCTTAGTGAGTTCCTTAAAGTAAAACATTAGCTAGTTAAGTTTAACAATGTACACCTACTAGTTGTTATCTGCCTAGCAATTGAGTGTACATCAAAAATTAATTCCAGTAGAGATGTATTTGCATTTTGCTAAATTTTATGATTTTTTCCAGTTTTAAAAAATATACAAAAACGTAAAGTCAAACAACTGTACAGTAGAATGTAGTGTTTTGTTTTTCTGTCCACCACACATAGAGTTTTAGAACAATTAATATAAGATTAACAGACCCATATAACTAATAATAGTAGAATTGATCTAGTTTAACTTATGCAAGCTCATATTTTTCCTAGTAATAAATCTTTAACAAATAAAGAAAGCCATATGAGATGCAACTTTTGCCCTGTCGAACTCTAACTAGTCTTACTTTCCCCAAATCTGTCATTATAAGCATTTTCTTCTGGCATTTCAATTTTATCATTGTATATTTCTAATGACTAATGATCTTTCCCAGGCTGAATCAAGTTTCATCATCTTTCAGATGGTGGTTTATTTCTTATTAGGACAAATATGGTAGCATACATGCTCTGTCAATATATGCCTAGGATAAAGTCCTAGGAAGCAGAGCAAGAATTCAGATTATGCACAAAGGCCTTGTCCAGTGATAGAGAAACAACCCATCTTCCTGGACCAGTCCCAACACTGTATTCCTAAAGCAAATGTCTGAAAGTGTTTTGAGATCAGAGTATTTGGAAGTACAAAGTGCACCATCAGATCTGGGTGACCCAGAGTCACAGCCCAAGTGTCACCAGTTGCACCTCACCTGTACCATCTCAGATCTACGGTGATCAGAGAGTCAAAAACTATTAGTATTACAGCTCTCATTTCCAAATGAACTTTCTGGGTTTGGTTTCTTTTGTGACATAAGGTATTTTTTCCTGGCTGAATTCTTTACCTAAATTCAAACATCTTCCTTCCTCAGTTGTTTCTTCTTTGGCCTCTGGTTCTGCTGCTTAGAGCAATTTACAGCTCCCTTTAAGCCAAGGCAGAGGGGAGAGCCTGGGAAAGGCTCCTGAAATGCCACCTGACCTGGGGAGCCTTTGGCTCTTTGTGTTCCACAGTATCAGCCAGTTATAAGTTGGACATCTCTGCCATTGGAAGAACATAAACCACAAGGGGTGAATGAGCTTTTGTTTGCTACAGCCATCCCTTGGTATCAGACCTGGAAGATTCCAAACTTGGAAGGTGCTCCAGTCCATCAGTGTGCATTATGTATACACCCTTTTCCATACTTTAAATCATCTTGATTACTGATAGTTATTAATATAGTGTGCATGATATGTAATGGTTTTGCTGTATTACTTATGGAATACTGACAAGCGAAAACAATGTCTTCACAGTTTAGTACAGTTTAGTACAGTTTTGTCCTTGGTTGACTGGATCCCTGGGTGTGGAGCCCTTAGATAAGGAGGGTTGACTGTAATGGTAAGGGAGGAGCCTCACTGCCAGAATTCCATTTCCAGGAACCACATGAAGGGAAAAACAGACTCACATGAGTTGTCCTCTGATCTTTTCATATGCACAGTTACACACATACACAAACTTAATTTTTTAAGAAGAGAGCAAATAAGATGCTATAGAATTCTTCTATTGTGACCAGTCTCAAGGTTGCCGTCCCAAGAAGTGGCTGTTCTTTCCAGTGTGGAACTTGCCGAATCTCTGCTGTCATCATAGCCTTTCTTGAGTTTTTAATCACTCTTAAGATTATTAGTCTTAGTATAAATATGTAATTTTGGCAGTTCCTATAAAGAATCATGAAAATCATTAGTGACGTTTTTCTTTTTTCCTTTAAGTTTTTTTTTGGGGGAGGTTGTGTTTTAGATATTTTTCTCTCTTCTCTCAAACACAGAAAAGAATTACAATATAAACATTGAAATTCTGGCAAGGTTAGCATCTTTTTTGTCAAGGAATAAAGCATTAGAGGGGCATTTCGTTTGTTGCCCACTGCCGCCTGTGTGCATTTATTATGTAATGTTGACAGAACAGAAGCTAAGCCTTCTTCTAGCCTGAAAACACCAGAAAGAGCATCTTCATGGGATGACATTTCAATAATGGATTTCTTAAGACATCTAATAGGCAACACAGACTTCTTGGTAGCAATAAACAGATCCTCTGATGGACTTAGAAATGTTCAGATTTTTGGAGACTATTTACAAATAACACGGATCTTGTCATTGTAAGTAGGAAACCAAAAGGGAGCATGGATTTTAATGTCTAACTTGAACAGAAAGCTGGAGCCCTCAGCTTTGCTTTAACAAATTGGGTTTTCATCTGTTAAGATTGTTTGTGTGATCTTGCCATAAACCAGGAAATTAGTATAAATTATCTTTCTTTAATGGAGAAAACATGATATATTCATTTAAGCTTTTAACAGATTTGTAGTCAAGAAGAAGCAGGCATCCTTACATATCTGAGCCAATGGGGTCCTGTGCAAGTTGTTTGAATCCAGAATCTTACTAAATCCCAGAGTCATCTCATTCTTTCCCTGTTGGCATAGTCTCCTCAGTATATTCCCCATTTGATATGTTTCAAGTATCTTTAATTTTTCTAAGATATCTATAGGAATAAATATGAACAGATATGTATTATAAAGTTGTCTCTCAAGTTTTTACTTCAAAGTGAAGGAAATTATAATTACTTAAATATGTCATCTCTTTATATATCTAATTTGAGGACAAATTCCTAGCTTCTCTAAATTAAGAAAATGGGGGGTGGGGAGCGGCATGCAGTTATGTTTGCACCATCCTTAACAGTGATACTTCTTGTTTCAGGATGTGACCTGAAATGGAAGAATTTGGAGCATAAAACACCCCGGGCTTTGGCGAAGGAAGGTGGCTTTAAGGCTGCCGACAAAGAAATACGCAGAGCAGAGAGAATTGCAAATAAACTCTCCAAGCCAGGAGCCAAAAATCCTAACCCGCTCTGGGCCCTGAGGCTGCACGACTGGTCTGCAGAGCATGAGGCGTTCCTTCGAGAAGCCTTCTCCTTTGTGGACCCGGGCGACGGCACAGTCACCAAGGATGACTTTGTGATGATCCTGGAGGAGAAGCAAGACTTTGTCAGCTTGGAGCAGCTGTTCTCCATCGCTCAAATGCACGAAAAATCACGGGGAGGCAGGATCAACATCAACGAGTTCTTCAAAGGAACCAAATACTTACACAGATCTTTTGTCTTGGGCTCTTACGGTCCTAAGAAAAAGAGAAAGGGTTTGGGCAAAAAGGGAAAGAAAGGCCAGTTTGTTCTGCCCTTTCCCATCTGCAGCATCCCCGAGAACGCATTCCCACGGCGGCCTGATGGGGGCCCGCCCTTCTACATGGTCGAGACCTACCAGAATGTGACCGACTGCAGCAGGTTCAACCGGGACCACCCTCCTGAGCATCCCATTCAGGATGATTCCAAGTGGTATATCGATCATCCAGGGAAGTTCTTTGCCAATATAAACTTTATCACCAAGGCGGGAGACCTGGCATCTCTGAAAAAGGCTTTTGAGGGAGGAATACCTGTGGATATGAAGGATAGTTCTTACAAGACACCCCTCATGACGGCATGTGCCAGTGGCAACATAGATGTGGTCAAGTTTCTTCTTGAAAAGGGGTATGCATGGGTTTTGTTGTTTGTTGCTGGTTTTGTTGGGTTTTAGTTGAATGTTATGAGTTTTCACATGTTGAGGTAGGGAAGGCCAGAAGACACAGCTGTGGCCTCAGACTCAGAGCAGTAAGTGATGTTTCTTCACTGCAGGGAACAAATGATCTCATAGCAGGATCCAGGCACAGGGGCATGTGGTGTTGTGGGTGCACAGAGAGGCCCAGCAGAAGACTAAAATAGTTGCTCAGATTAAATTGCTGCTTCTCCAGTGGTTGGGTGGCTGGCAGCAAGTTTCTTAACATTTCTGTGCACTGGTCTCCTTATGCCTTTAATGGACTAAATAAGACTCAGCTCAGAGTTTGCTGACAATTAAATGAGTTACAAAATGTTATGCACTTATTGGCATGGTAATTGCACACTTAGAGAAGATATTGATGCTGTTAACATACTGTTCCATGTGAAGGATACAGAGCTGTACATTTTCAAAAGTCATAGAGCAACTAAAAAGTAACTTTTGGGCAGTGAAGGGCTATTGAGAACTAAAAGTTTAAATAATACGTTATAGTGCTTAGATTTTCTAAAATAACAAACATTCATTTAAAATTTATAACATGTAGACAAAGCACACACAGAGTGGAAGAACATAAGTTTTATCGTTGGGTTTTTTTTGCTCAGTTTCCATCTTCATTGGAGCAGTTTTATATTTTCTTGATTTTAAGCTTTGCAAATAATTTGAACCTCTAGCATCTAAGTACCTTTTCAAGCTAAACAAAATGTATATATAAATGTACAAAGAATGTTAAGGCTGCCAAATAACGCAGAGCAAAAACTTGCATCTCTGTCTCGCTGTGTAGGGCCAATGTTAATGCGACAGATAATTTTCTGTGGACTCCGCTTCATTTTGCGTGCCACACGGGCCAGCAAGACATTGTTGAACTTCTCGTTAAATATGGAGCAGAGATAGATGCAGTGTCAATCAACAACTCCACGCCTTTAAGTAGAGCCATTGAAAGCTGTAGACTAGACACTGTGAAATATCTACTTGATATTGGTGCTAAATTCCAGATGGAAAATAGAAAAGGTATGAGTTCATATTACTGATGTTTGAGGTTAAAAAAGGAAAATGTACTTTAGGTTCCAAATTTTGATTCTAAGTTATAACTATGTTCTCCCTTTGGTTACTGATAGAAACGCAAGCCTTCATTAAGTGCTATGGGTGTCTGATGACTAGTGCTTTCCAAATCATTGGTGTGAAAGGGCCCGTTCTTTGTGTTTGCAATTTGTTGTGGACTGATTGTTTTAGAAAATAAAGTAAAAGGTAAACTCCTGGAAAATTAAATGGAAAGAACCATGAACCTCAGGCCTGAAGTTATTTTTATTCATTAGGTTCAAATGGCAGAGTTCTCCTAACACATTGCTACAAATACTTCTAAACACTTCATCACTGTAATAATTTCATCATGGATCAGGAACATGTTAATTTTTAGATGAGGATCAGTTTGCAGGTCACACCTTAGGTTATCACTGTTGAAATTCTTATTTCACAAAAACTGGCCATCTAGAGACTATAGATTTTGGAGTTCTCTGAAAGTTGGACAAAGTAATCCCTGAATTGAGGCCTTTGTAGCTCTAGGAAGTAAACACATGGTCTAATCCTGCGTCATAAATAGCACGCCAGATTAAGTTTTTAAAAATTCACTATAATAAATATTCAATTTCCTTGTTTGAAGGTGCCTTTTTCTTAGTTGGAACTCATTGCTTCTTTTGACTCTTAGACAGCATTCATGCCTCTGCTTGCTTCTGGCTACATCTGAGTTATAGGTATTTAACCAACCCTGCCTGGTGGCACTATTTAACCAACCCTGCCTGGTGACACCAATCTAGAGCACTTCTGAGTACCAGCATCTCATGCCTGTTGAAATTTACCTCTTTGCAGCATAGAAAAGAGAAGATAAGAAATTATCACACAAAGGAAATATGTGCAATGTGGGAGAGAAGTCATCAAATGAATACTCAGAATGTAATCCCACTTCAGAATCCCAAGATTTAAGAAAAAAATGAATTTTCGTGCCATTAATGCCACTTTAAATCCTAGGATTCTGAAGTGGGGTCCTTTGTGGAGTATATATATATATATATATATGTAGTTTATCATTAAATTGGTTTATGGTCAGTTTGTTTCCATTTGAAACAGGGCACAGTGCCATGGATGTTGCAAAGGCGTATGCTGATTATAGAATAACTGATATGATTAAAGAAAAGCTAGATAACTTGCCTAAACCAACAGATCCAAAACTAAAAGGCAAACTTCCCAAACTGAAGACTGAAGGCACTGAAAGGAGAAAAGAAGAGGTAAAAAAAAAAAAAAAAGTAACTGGATATCCTTAAAACCTGGGGTGGGGGCTGGAGAGATGGCTCAGTGGTTAAGAGCAGTGGTTGCTCTTCCAGAGGACCCAGGTTCAGTTCCCAGCACCCACAAGGCAGATAACAGTTATCCTTGACTTCAGTATCAGGGGATATAATGTTATCTTCTGGCCTAGATGGGCATTGCATTCATGCAGGCAAAGCATACACAAAATTAATTGATATTAAAAAACGTGGGATGGCAGGACACTATTTCATGTGATTATACAACATGAGAAAATGGCATATTTTATGTACTTTGTACTGTAAGTTTAAAGGTATATCTACTAAGAAAAATTACTGATGCTTCTAAGCATTTATTGATAACAGAAGTCACACAAATACAAAATACAAAATGATGCAGCAAAATGCAATTAGAATGTTGAGAACAGAACTGGTACTGGATGTGCATCTATGTGGCCCTGAATTACACAGATTTGATGAGATGTTGTGAACAGAGAGAGAGCAACTCTATCAGAATGAAGAAGAGCATGATTTTTCATCCTGTGGGTCTCAATCTTCATTGCCCACCTTCTCCCTGTACCAGGGAATGTTAGTTACACAGAACCCGGGTTCTGGATTCAATGTTAACTTGGCCATTCTGCAAAAATGATTCCAGAAGGTTTTAAGTGAATCAAGTTGACTGTTTCTGACAATCCAGCAGAAAGTCAAGGTTGTCCTTAGTGATTATAGGGACACCAAAACATTGCCAATAGGGGGGATGGCCTAAGTGTATTTCCAGGCTGGAAGCTTCTTTTAGAGCAGCATATGGTTCACTAGAGCTCCTTGTAAGAGAACAAACAACAGAAGTGGTGATCTGATGGTCAAGAAGTGGAGACAGCTCCTGCCATCTGCACCATTATCCTTTTAGTAGGATTCCATCCCATGAATCACCACAGATACAGGATAGATAGCTTGAAAACTCATGTTATCTGTCACCAATGGGACTAAATGGAGGTGAGCCAGGCAAGCTAATTATCTCTCCACACTCACAGTTATAACAATCTATTTAATCTCAAATTTTTAGGATTTTTTTCTTTATTCCTGGCTTCAGAATAAAATATAGACAAAAATTAATATTATTGAATGCTTATCTTAGAAATTTATGCTTTTAAAAATCTTGTTCCCAGGAAACACTATCATCAATTTATGCTGTACCCCCCATGATGGAAGAAAAGAAACTACACAAGGATAATGTGGTTTCTCTTAATGCTCTGATTACCAGTGGTTATACCAAGAAAGAAGATACCACATTTACTCCACAAAGGGTAAGTCCTTTGGAAAAGTATTCATAACACGGCAGAACACAGTGTTACTGTCACATGCTCTCTGTGCAGTCATCTGAACAACTGCCTCAGTTCGTCCTTTGTAGTTACTGCTGTGATGGCCCCTTCGTCAGGTTCTACCACCTTCAACTCAGTGAGGCCAACTGTTCATTCTCACTATCTGCTTCCCTGTGTTACTAATTTCTTTACCGAGAGTTCAATTTTCCTTAAAAGCCTGAAGTCTTCCTTGGTCAATGGCTTTCCTTATGGCCATTTAGCCATCATATTCGATAGATACTTTGCATTGTTAGGTCTCAGACCCAAACTTACTCTTTTATACATCTTAGCAATACTTTCATTGGAAGTTTCATGCTGTCCAGGCTGAACATCCTCAGTAGTCTCCTAAACCACCTGCAGTTAAAGAGGTAGAGACATCTGTGGGGATGGGAATTGTTTTCCCAGTACCTATCTAGACATGCTGAATAAGCAGCACTTGATGACTCCTGTTACAAAAATAAGTTAGGCTTCCATGTATGTCATAAAGGCTCTCCCAGTTCCTTTGCTTCTCTGTTTTGATAACCTGGAAATGAGGAGCAGTTGGCCCATTGTCAACTATCTAGAAAGGGAACTGGAGAACAATTTCTGAGCTCTGTTCCCAGGTGGTCCTCATCAAAAATAGTGGCGCTCACATAAACATGAACATCATGGGAGAAAGGACTAGTAAAATACAGGTTAGAAGCACATTCGATAGTTTTGAGTTAAAACTACTGAAAGTCCTCTTGGGCAGGAGATGTAACTGCATGACAGATTGCTTGTCTTACATGTGCATAATTAGAAATATATTGAAAGCACACTCACTGGTTACCATGCTCATTACTGCCCTGGCTTTGGCTGTTTATTCAAGATTTGGAATCCCGAAGCCACAACAGCAGAGCTGATCAGGAAGAGGGAACTGAGACGGGAGAAGTTCACTTACGAGGTGGACTTTGAAGACTTCATGATGCCGTTTCAAAAGAACATCACCAAGAAAGCTCGAGCATTGGAGGCAGCCTTCAGGAACTGAGTCACAGCAGCTGCCTCTTGGGATAAATGCTTCCAGCCACTGACTCCAAACTTTGGAGAAAATAAGTATTTCCATCAAAGCGAAAGCAATCCATCCATTGACAATTTGTTATTAAAGATCTGTTTTTGCTTGAACAACTATAAATACCCTCAGTTGTATCATGTAGCTCTATTTCATTTTGCAGCAAATGGCAGATCGTGTGTATAAAAGCCCCAGCCCTCATTAAGAGTGTAGCTCACTGGCAGTTGTACAAATATTGTCAAAATTTTTACTAGATATGCACCATTATGTTTATTAAAAATCTAGTGCATGTACAAGGCCCTGGGATCAATCTCCAGAACCATATATTTCAAAGTAATTAATAATGATTTTGAAACATACACACATACAAAAATGAAGTAAAAGTTGAAAACCCACTGAGTGTAGTGGCACATGCCTGTAATCCCTGTGCTTCTTCTACCACGTGGCAGAGGTGGAAAGATCTCAAACTGAAGACCAGTTGGGCTATATAACAAGATCCTACCTCAGGAACCAAGGGCTGCAGGCACAGCCCAGGGACAGGTCATTTGTCTAGTGCTCACAAAGCCATGAGTTAATCTCTAGCACTGCAAAAGGTAAAATAAGTAAAGTGGAAATTAACAGAAAAACAAGATAGAAAATAGAGAGATGGTATATAATCCTTCGAGGTAGGAGTTTATTTCTCATACATCATTATCTGTGTAGTTCACATGCTTGGATCAGGTAAACTTTGGACAGTTATTGAGATGCTATATACACTCCACTGTTTCCCTCCACCCTCAGATGGCACCTCAATTCCAGATACCAGTGGACTCAACCTGGTATAGAAGTTGATCCCTTGGAATCAACACCAAGCTGGTGACTGAAGAGTTTGGGCTCCTCACGTTCTGGTTGGTTGATTCTCAGGTACATGTTCTCACTGGTTCATAGAGCCCTTGCATAGGATTAGGTACTCACAGTGGTAGTTTGTTTGAAACAGCCTTCATTCCCCATTCCCTTCCCCATGTCACTGTCCCCTCTCATTCTGGTCCATTTTGGAGATTGCCTCCCCTACATACCTAAATTTTTGTCTCTAAGTGACTCTGGGAGGGTCCAAACTAAGACAGAAATCCATGGGAATACCATAAACTTATGATTATGAGTTCTCAAGAAAGCTTTGATGATAAATTCCATTATCAGATTAATGTGAAATAAACATTTCCTCAGTATGGAGAATTTATTTTCTTTGCAACTAAGAGTCTAAGTGGTGTTTGTATAACAGTTGATAATTTGGGGAAAAATGTCCAGATACTAGAAAAAAATGAGAATGACTAGAGGTATTATAATGCTACTTTCCATCAAAAGATTTAGGGAGAGGGAAGCAAAGGAGAACGGGGTTTTAAGAGACCCAGCATGAAACCCTACAAGTATCCAGTGCTACTTAGGCCTAGGGCCTGACTCATTTGGAAAGAAGACATTTCCAGAGAAATAGGATAAGTAGAATGGGTAGATGGATGGATATATGATGGATAGATAGATAAATAGGTAGATGATGGATGGATGAATGGATGGATGGATGGATAGATAGATGATAGGATAGATAGATAATGGACAGACAGCTAGATGATAGATGATAGTAGATAGATAGATAGATAGATAGATAGAGAGAGATGATAGATAGATAGATAGATAGATAGATAGATAGATAGATAGATAGATAGATAGATAAACTTTGCATTATTATGACCAAAATATCTGTCAGAACAACTTAAGCAAAAAAAAAAAGCTTATTTGGGCTCATGACTTCAAAGGGAACAACAGTTCATCATAGAGTCATAGAGGTTGGTGGGGCTCTGCTCCTGGTGTGGTAAAATGAGGTTTGTTCATATGATTGATAGGTCAGTAAACAGGAAATTTTTTAACCAGAACTAGAAGTGGACATCACCTTCAATTCTTGCCCTCAGAGACCTACTTCTGCTAGTTAGCAATGGTCCCAAAGGGTCCACAGCCCTTCCAAAGCAATGCCACCAACTGAGGACTAAGTGTTAAACACATTAGCCTGTGGGGGACATTTCATGCTTAAACAAAAACCGTAGATGATGGATGGACAATGGATGGATGGATGGATGGATGGATGGATGGATGGATACATAGATAAGACAGTTGTAAGGAATTGGTCTGCAAAATGGTAAGGGTTGATTTGTCACATTTCTAAATAAATAGCTTAGCCACCAAGACATGCAAGCTAGAGATTCTTGGGCAGGAGCACTCCATAAAATTCACAGGGGGAGTTTTTTTCTTCCTTAGAGAAAGCTCAGTTCTGTTCCTATCCCTAAACAGTTCTTTTTGGACTTCCTGAGAAACAGGAAAGTTCTTTCATATAACCCTATTTCAACTTCTAAAATATGTACTGCTCTCTAAGCAACGTGGTATAATTGTCAACATCAGGAAAGTAACACGAAAGAAAAGCTATTGGTAGAGTGGCCTCAGTTTCCACTACTAGTCTAACTATATACTTCACAGCACAAAATTCAGATAAAATGTATATTAAAAAATAAATGAAAATAAATAAAAAAGTAAAATTCCAAGTCAGATAATGTGTTCAGTTCCCATATCTCTTTAGTCTCTGTTAGCCTAAAACAGTCTTCTTTTGCTATTGTTGTTTTAATGATTTTGGCATTTAAGAATAGTTCAGGGAAATTGTTTTTCAACTACCCCTCAATTTTTGTCATATATTTCCTCAAAAACAGATTCAAGTATTGTGTTTCAGAGAACATACCAAGGGTGTGGCATGGCACCCTCCACAGTACCATCTTAACTAGTGGGTAGAATTTGCAAAGTTTGCAGCACAGGCCATCACATGCCTTCTAAAGTGGAGCACCTCTACTTTCTCTACACCAGTTCATTGTTTTCTCTTTCCATTTAGAAGTGTTTTGAGAACAGATCTTTGAAATTACTTAAATTTTCTTTTACTCCCATTAATTTCACCTGCTAATTTTTAACATCCATGGATGATTCCTGTCTGGGATAAGTGTTATATCACAATAAACACAAGATAATTTTCTGATGTCACTATTTCCACTTCTTGGTTACTTTTCCACTGTAATTCTCACTTTCTCTTCTCCATCAATCTGTGCAGTTTCATCAGGGTGGATCCATGTGTTTGTTCTTTATTTGATAGACTAACTGTGGGGACAACTCCAAACTCAGGTTAGTTACTTCCCTTCCATAAATGTTTTCTCCTGCACTAAGCTATTACAGGAGGGGAAACATAACTAAGCTTACTCCACATTCCTTCTTCAGGAAAGGTTTTTGTCCCAAAGGTGATGAAAAGACTACTTGTGCTGACATAGGTAAACGTTCTCACAAGCTTTCTATCTCCTATTTGTCTTCTTGAAGACCCAATTTTTTTCAAATGAGTTGGTATTGTTCTCTTTGAACTTCCCTTAATTATTTTTAAATTTGCTTTTAAATTTTTTGCTTTTTAGTTTTGTACTATTAACTTGCTTATACATATTTATAAAGTATGATGTGATCTTGATATATGTTAATAAATATCAAATTCTAACTACCCTTTGAGTTACTCATCACTATGGGACAGCAAGTATATGCACATGTAAACTCATAATTTTTTGTTATTAATCTGCCTCTCATGGTTTTTCTTCACAAGCCCCAGGTGCTAAACCTAACAGGGTAGAGGAAATACCTTTCTCTTCTGTGTAATCCCTTACTAACATTATTTATTTTGCTTGATACTCAAAAATCGTCCCTTATTTGATCAGCAGAAACCCCTACAAATCACCTAATAAAAAGTTTCCTGAAATATCTATAGGATTCTTTATTTCTTGTATGTGAGGAAAAATACCTATTCAAGAGCAAGATAAATGAATGCACAGTATCAGATCTTCAGAGGACATGACTCTCTATTTTTACCTTAGTGAATGCACTTTCTCAATGTCTGTATAATACGCAGTGGCTCTTTGGGTCACTAGTCCTGGGGCACATACACTTGGTAATCAGCTGTGAGTGGTTTCGATCCATCCATCTCTTTGAAGCAGAAAGGAAAACCAAAGACAGCGGGAAGAACACCAGACTGGGCATCACAGCAATGAAGGGTTGCTGAAGCACATTTACTTTAAAAAAATTGTTTTTTAAATTTTACGTGTATGAGTGTATTGCCTGCATGTATGTGAGTGTACCTGTGTGGTGCAATGCCACAGAGATCAGAAGAGGGCTTTGGATTCCTCTGGAACTGGAGTTAAGGATGGTTTGTAGCTGCCATGTGGGTGCTGGGAATCGAACCCTGGTCCTCTGCAAGAGCAGTCAGTGGGTCAGTATTCCTTACCACTAAGCCATCTCTCCAGCCCCAAAGCACATTTACTCTTTTTTTTTTTGGTCTTTTTTTCTTTATAGTGAGTTAATCCTTGGTTTAAGTGATTTAAACACATACATTTTTATCTATACATTTATGTAGCTTACTTAGTTCCTGGTAATCAGAGGCAGGTGAATAATATGAGAAATTCTAATTCTATTAATGGTAACTCCATCATGGATCAAAAGTTTACTTTTGTTTATTATTTATTCCTCTAGTGTCTAAATATTTGGGTAAATAAAACTGTTCCATGAAATAGAAGTTGAGGTATTGGTCTTTAGTGCAAGTAATTTGTGGAGGGAACGTTCCCAGGAGAAACTTTTTAGGAAGTAAGACAGAAGGGAAGACCAAGCAGCAAAAAGAATTAAAGAAGGACGCAATCTTAAGAGGGAATTGGCTAAAATCCATTGTTTATGAAGCTATGGAGGATGATTTGGAGGATCGGTTGTACTACAGAGATTATCTTACATAGAGGGAAGGAAGCTGGGTTACCTCCAGCATCTGACAGTAGATAGCTCGTAGTCAGCACAGAAACCACAAATATCACAAGGCTGAGTGATGAGCTAGCTCCTACCAGGCAAGGTGAGACGGTCAGTCCTGACTGCCATCTTGACTGGACTAAGAGGGGGGT